GAACTGCTAGAGTCATGGGGCTGCTCAGCTAGGCAGGATTGAGGGGTTGAACCAGTTTCCCACAACTGTGACACCAGCCGCAAAAGTATGCTTGGGAACCGCTATAGGACAGCCTGCTTTCTGAACAAGTTTGTGAGCTCAGACACTGCTAGTTGGGGTCCTATGCAATTTACCAATGGCAGAGTAACACCTTATATATGGGGGAGGTTGTGAAGTCAGACTACAGGGTAGAAGTTGTATGGGATCAAAAATACCTTGAAAATCTTTTAGATGTCTCAAAGAGCACATACATGGCTCTTATGTATCCAAAATTGACAGCGTAAGTTTTACAAGCTGTTGTTGTTGTTGTCAGGTGCCATCGAGTTGGAACCGACTCATAGTAACCCCATGCACAGCAGAACGAAACTATGTCCAATCCTGGGCCAACCTCACTACCGCTGCCATACTTGAGTCCATCAATGATGCCACCTGGCCAATCTATCTCGTTAGGGGTCTTCCCCTTTTTATCTGACCCTCCACCTTACCCAGCATGACATCCTTCTCCAGTGACTGTTCTCTCCAGACAATATGTCCAAAGTATGAGAGACGAAGCTTAGCCATCTTGGCCTCCAAGCAGCACTCTGGCTGCACTTCGTCCAGTACAGCTCTGTTGGTTCTTTTGGCAGTCCATGGCACTTTCAGTATTCTCCTCCAACACCACAACTCAAAGGCATCAATTCTTCTACGATCTTCCTTATTCACTGTCCAGCTTTTGCATCCATATGAGGCTATTGAAAATACCATGGCTTGGGTCAGGCGCACCTTAGTCCTCAAGCTGACATCTCTGTTCTTCAGTACTTTAAAAAGTTCCTATGCAGCAGATTTGCCCAATGCAGTACATTGTCTGATCTCTTGACTGCTGCTTCCGTGAGTGTTGATAGTTGATCCAAGAAGAATGAAGTCCTTGACAACTTCAATCTTTTAGATATCATTGCTGATGTCCAATGGATCTTGACTGAAAGCAGAGTATACCAGAAGGATGTTTACCTATGCTTTATTGACTACGTGAAGGCTTTTGATTGTGTGGATCATGACAAGCTATGGACAACATTGAGAAGTATCAGTATTCCAGAACACTTAATTGTACTTCTGAGAAATCTGTACCTAGACCAAGAAGCAGTTGTTCGAACAGAGCATGGGAACACAGAATGTTTAAAATTGGGAAAGGTGTGCAACAAGGTTGTGTTCTTTTACCATACTTTTTCAACCTGTATGCTGAGCAAATAATACGAGAAGCTGGGTTTTACGAAGAAAAACGTGACATCAGGATTGAAGGAAGACTCATTAAAAACCTGCGATATGCCGATGATACAACCTTGCTTGCTGAAAGCGAAGAGGACTTGAAACATTTACTTATGAAGATCAAAGAGCACAGCCTTCAGTATGGATTGCATCTCAATGTCAAGAAAACAAAAATCCTCACCACTGGACCAATAAACAACATTCTTATCAATTACAAGCTGTATTGTACCAAAAATATATATCTTTAACTATTAGAGTCATATTCGCCATGATGAGATATCCATGCTTTGAATGAAAAGTTTGCAAGAATCAGACCATCCAAGGGAACTTCACATTCATCTCTTCCCTTCATTATCATTTTGAGATTTGTACTTTTTTTGCTGCATATTATTAGTGATCTTTCTAATATACGGAAGTCTAGCTCTGGTAGCGTAGTGGTTACGAATCAGGCTGCTAACCTGAAGACAGTTTGAAAACTACCAGCGGTTCCATGGGAATAAGATGAGTCATTCTGCTCCCATAAAGGTTTACAACCTCAGAAACCATGTGCAAGGTCACTATGAGTCGGAACTGACTCCACAGTACTTAACAACAACAATATGTATAGTCCAGGTATGGTGCTGTAGGTTAATGCACTTGACTGCAAGGTCGGTTTGAATTGCAAGATTAGTGGTTCAAGCTCACCAACTGTTCCTCAGAAACCCTATCCAGAGTCACTGTGAGTAGGAACCAACTCAACAGCAAACAGTAACAACAAATATGTATAGTGGAAAAAGACGTATGTTTATTGCACCTATATTTTGTCTCCATATATAATACTGATTGATTTTTATGGTTCCAATATCTTTTGAGGAGGTACCAAAAATGTTTTAGGAGAAAACAAATATGGTAGCCTTCTCTTCATCCAATATGATTATTCTCTGTTCTGTTTAGTTGTACTTAAGGGTTAAGGCTTCTCTTTCTCTTGGAGTTTATTTGCTATCACACTGAGTCCTGCTAAACTAAGAGAATTCCACAGTGAGCATCCCGAAAGTGGTCAGGGTCTTTTGGAGTGATTTTTTTTTCTTCCCTTTACCAAGTTCTAAAAGTATATTTCCTGACTAGAGCACAAGACCCAGAAAACTGCATGTGGGATCAAAACACATCTCTGAATCGGTTATGACAATGACCAAAGTCATCTCATTGAGGTGGGGGTCTGTAAGGGTCAGACAAGCAGCAGGAAGAGTGAAGTGCGGCTGTGGGCACTTCTACTCAAATCCCTAGTGACATTGGGGCCAGGGGAGCCCCGAGTGAGATATTTCACTGCCTCTCGGCTCTGCTTTGGCCACAGCATTACCAGGGGTCACTTATGTTGGGTGTCCTGGAGATAGGACTCCCCTCACTCCTCCACCATCTCATGCCCCCTTGGTCAAGCTTGGGGGTTACCCTTAGAAGCTCCCATTAGTACACTTCAGTTAACAAGACATTTGTGCTGAAATATAGTGAGAATAGCTTAGTGGACCAGACGGAGGTGCCCTTCCCTCCCTCTCCCTTCTTCTTAGCCCACTTACCACTTAGCCTATATGTTGGGGAAACAACTCAAATACTCTTCAGACTCCTTTGGAATCCATTCATTCTGGAGCCCTTTTTACATTGGTGGCAATAGTGGAATGGCTAACCTGGGATCAGATTCACCCTCTTTCCTAAGTCAGTTTGTCTTCATAATTAGCTAAGCAGGAAAGCAGGCAGTGGGGCAGGGTAGGGGTTTGATATCTGAGCCTAGAGAGCAGAGTATTACGAGGTTTCCTATCTGAAAAGCAGAAACTTTTGGATTCTGACCTCAGCTGAAAGCAGAGAACATGCAAACAGGAACTAGAGCCTTCCATTCCTTCTACTTCCCATACTTCTAAGAAGCAAAATGAAGACATTGTCTCCCCAGGCCATCATCTGATATAGCCATGACTTTGCTATGAAGTGGAAAGGACAAATTCAGCAGTGTAGTTTATAAAATAACTTTTGGGACAAGGATAATTTTAATAGTAAAGAAAAGAATTTCCCAAGTAACACATAGAAATACATTTTCCTTGTAAAACCATTAGTTTAAAATCTCCTTTGCCCACCACCCCTAATGTTCCTTCCCAGCGCTCTCTAAACCTGGCCCTACAGGGGCTGGTGAGAGTTTACTGCAGATCCTTATAGTTGGCGATGTGTTTACCTACATCTGTGTCCCTATAAAAAATTAATAGGTATTCTTTTGTAGATGTATTTTTAATGTAAGTAATATTGTACTGCGCTTATTCTGCACTTTAAATTAATGATAATAACTTAACATTTTACCTTGGAAACCCTTCCATATTGTACCTGGAAACCCATTTCCTTTTGGACTTCCACAAAGTAGAGTTCCCATCTGCAGTGAAGTCAACTCCAACTCATCCAGCCTCTCCCTATAGGACCGAGTAGAACCCCATAGGGTTTTCAGGACTGTGTAATACTGTAAGATATGCACTGCACTGCTCATCACAAACTTTGCAATTCAAACTCACCAACTGCTCCTCAGAAAACCTTGTACAAGGACTCTGAGTTGTAACCGACTCGATGGCACTCAACAACCATTTTTTTGCACATCTTTCACCCACAAAGCAGTTGGTGAGTTTGAACTGCTAACCTTTATGTTCTTTGTATTCCATGGTTGTTGTTGTTGTTAAGTGCCATAGAATTGGTTTGGACCCATAGGGACCCTACAGTTCCTACGGCTTGTAAACATTTGCTGTAGTAGAAAGACTCATTTTTCTCCCTAGGAGTGGTTGGTGGGCTCCAACTGTTGACATTGTGGTTTGCCTACAGAGGCAATACTCTCTCTGTTCCTTGGTAAGGAGTTTACTTAAGCACTCCCCTATGGATTGATAGGTATTAACGGTTGTTTCCAGGTTTTTACCGACACACACAGGGCTGCAAGGAAGACTTTAACAATTGTCACCTTAGACACTGACAGCGTGAATGCTTGTTCAGAAGGGATCTAGAAAGATGTGGTAGGGCCGCGTCATTGCTGAGCAGATTTATACTTGAAACAAACTGGATCGGGTTCCTCTTCTGAATGACAGGCAGCTTCTCATCCTCTTCTTCGTATTTCAAACCAGTACAGGAGAAAATGCACGAGGGAACTTTCCGTGGGTGGTTGAAAAGTTCTGAATTCTACTAGTGAAGGTGGTTGCACAGGAGTTTTCATTGTCTGCACTCAAATAACTATATGGGCACACTTAAAATGGGTGCATTTTGCTCTTTGTCAGTTACACCCCATTGACTTTTTCTTTTAAGTGTGCAAAGGAGACTGATCTAGCTATAAGGCACGATAGAATACCACCTTTTCTTTAAGTGGGTTTTTTAAAACGCTCATTTCTCCCTTCGGAACCGACTCCACGCCATACTACCACCACCACCACTTGTCCCTAGAGATCCTTCCCTCCGCCCTGCTTTTACCAGGACCTGCTTTCTACCCGCTGCCAGCTTTAGCCCAGCCTCCTTTCTAGCCGTCATCTCTCCCATTCTAGGATCCCGAAATCCTACTGTACTGGTTGTCAGTTAGCAGAGCCGAGCACTACAGCAGGGACACGCCCCTCGCCACTCCAGGCGCAGCCCCACCTGCCCGTTCCGGCCGTACTTGGGCGGGCCCAACCCGAGTCCCGCCCATGCAGGGGCAGGCCCTTCCACGGCTCCGCCCGCCTTTCTGCTTGAACGCTGGCGTCGGGTCTCGCTGGACTAAAAGCCGGGTGTCGATATCCGAGTCTCACCGCCTCCTGACACCGTGGAGCTGAGTCCCCCTTTCGCCTGGGAATTTTGTGGTCGCCTGGGGTCAGCGGTGACATCCCAAAGGGCAGGCCCGGCAGCCGCCATGGTGGCCAAGGATTACCCCTTCTACCTCACGGTCAAGAGGGCAAACTGCAGCCTGGAGGTACCCCCTGCCAGCAGTTCGGCCAGGGACGCTGAGGTAGGGCCCGCGCCTGCCACCTGCATCTCTCTGCGCCCGTCCTTCTGTCATCTCCATCTCTTTCTTGGCTCTCTCCTTTACCTCTGTATGTCGGTCCTGAGTGTTTGCTCGCGTCACCCTACCCCCATCCCGACCCTATCTCTCACCCGGCCCCGTGTCTCTTGTCTCCATCTCTCTCTTTCTCCTGCTTGCCCCTTCTCTTTCGATCAAGCTTGTGCCACCGCCTGTTTCTGTCCCCTTTCCTCTGGCCCTGGAGCAACTGTCTGCTCGTTTTCTCTCTCTCATGCGTCTTGCAGGGCTCCCAGACTGTCCCTTTTCTGCTAGACTAGGCGGAGGGACTTGTGCCTACTGTATCAGCAGATCACATGTCAAGGAAGAGGCTCCTTTCCTCCTGTCTGTTAGTGGGGATCAGGAGGAGGTTCTTGGGGACCCCTCAGGACATATCACCTGCCAGACTTGTCCTTGCAGCTGTTTGGCAAGAACACAAGACACGCTTCTCTGCTTGCAGCCTGTGGCTAGTGGGGGTCATTCAGCTGGGAACCTGGAGTAAATGAGAAATATGAGGATCTGACATTGGCAACACCTCCCTTAGGGCTCTCTCCGGAACCTTGCGGACCCTGTGAGAGTCCTCCCAGCTTGTATTTAGGTTGTCTTTTCCTCCTGTGGGTTACTTCTCTGGCAAAGAGCTCATTGGCCATAAAGTTTGGGCTCAGCTGGGGTAGAAAGTGCCTCTTTCTTTGAGGATCTAAGGTAATGTAGCTGCTTTAAGTAGTCCACAGTGAGAGCTTTGCTGTGGTTGGATACAGTGGAGCCCACAGAATCTGGGAGGTCTGGGAGATCTCCGCTGGCTACCTGGAAAAGTCTGGAGGCAAGTGTACATCTGGCCTTGTGTCAGCATTCTTGGAACTCCAGCCACCACCCTTGGGTCTGCCTGGCTGTGTGCATTCGCCTCATTGAAATATAGATATTTGGGACAACTATGTGAAAGATTCATTGCCTTTTAACAAGATCTGTTGCAAGTTGACAAGACTGCAGTCTCCAGTTATAATCAGCTTTCTGTAAGCTGAGTGCAAACTAACTTCTCCCCCTACCCTCCGCCCCACAGTCCAGCTCAGTTGTAGATTTTCACAAAGAGTATTTGTTTCCAGCAGCTGTGGAAGTTGTGATGGCCCTAGTGACATTTGGACGCTTTTTTAAGTTGTAACATGAAAGCACCTGCGCAGAATTCAGGTTGATCAGACTTACAATGGATAGAATGATTCTTTTCAATGGGAACTTCATAATTAACTGAGTGTAGGAGCCGTGAGGCTGGTGCCCTCAAGGTCCTTTTGGAAGGAAGCAATGCGTAACCAATTTTAATTAATAAATCGAAATGGGTGGGGAAAAAGGCATAGTGAATATAGCTCTGGACTCTTAACTAGTTTCTTGCTACTATCATTTTGTACTGTGTTTGTTTGTTTTCAATGGTTTGGTTAAAGCCTAAAGTAAATATATCTGCTTTGCCTTATTCTACTAAGACTGTAGATTCTACATATTACAAGTACAGTCTCAGAAAAAAATATCAAATATCATGTATCAATTTTCTCCATTGGTAGCTGAACTCAGATTATAAAATAGGATTTTTCTTTCATGTAGATGATCTGGGGTAGGGTAAGAATGGGAAAGCGGTGATTTGGGGTAATAGTTGGTCAATGTTTTTCCGGTATCACCGCTGACCTTTTTTTAAAAAAAAATTTTTTTTTTACATATTTTACTAGAATGTTTAAATCAGAGTAGGCGTATTTCTTAAGCTTAACATATTAAGGAGAGGTGTCCAGTGCAGTACATCTTGTAGTTTTCATCATTCTAGCATATCACTTCCTGATAATGGAGATAGGCAAAGTTGGAAAAAGAAACCTAAATGAGTTTATGGGGTAATTTTCTGGTTTCATTATCAGTGCAAGAGGCAACCAGCCCTTGTGGGCCTCATAGCTTCTCTGTCCAGTTGATTCTGACTTAGACTATACAGCAAAATGGAACTGCCCTTTAGGGTTTCCCTGAGTTGTTAACTCAAATATATTTTTGACCAGTAGGTGTCATCAGTATTTGTAAATGTTTAAAAACCATAGCATTGCCTAGTCTGCCTTTGGAAAAAACATGATTATATAATTGTTTACAAAGTAGGCATTGATTATAAATTCCTTTTAAAGTAATCTTTTTAAAGATTGATCACTTCCTTTACAGAAAGTGGTGATTGTCTAAAGAAAAGCCAGTCTAGCCTAAGGTCTTAACAAGAAAATAGGACCCCTTGCCCTTCACAAGGCAGTTGCAGCAAAAACCCTGTGCTCTTTAGACATGTAATGGCCGTTCCTGCAGACTTTGCAGTAGGGAGGTCAGTGGTCACATTGAAGTATTGACATTCGTTCTTGTCATTTCTTCAAGGGTTCTGGGCAGGACCACTTAGGGAAAGGCTTTCCAGTAGGGGGTGGTTGTCATTTCTGTGCATTTGACACTTGAGTGAAAATTTGCAAACATAAACTTTCTCTTAAAAGTAAAGGATACCCAAGTGTCTCCTCGGGATTGTCATTAAAGTGCTTTGTAAATTTTTTGTTCTTGATATTTCAATGATAATCTCCAGTGAAAGTAAGAAAGAAAGAAAAAGATTATTTTAAGCACTGTAAAATATTCTACATGGATTATGATATAATATAATACTGCTTCTTAATCTGGTATTTCTTAGGACATGGGGTCTGAGTTGGGTTGCACATGTTTAATTTTAAGACCCATAACCAGCTAGATTCTTCTAACTCTAATCATTAAGTGTGAAATCTAGAGAGCTTAGTCCCTGGTTCTAGATTTTCAGAGAGAAACATAAAACGTAGCAACATATGAGTATCCTTAAGCTTGTTTCCTCTGATGTTGGTGCAACTTTGCTCAATTTAGCATTGTTTTCATATTTATTGAGTATCAATCTCCCCTGCCAGGAGGGGACTGGTCTTCTAGGCATGTTAGTTACTCTAATCAGATTGGTAAAAGGAGAGTTATTGGCTCTAATGAACTGACAATTGTAAATGAAAGTCACAACTCCCACATGGTAAGGGTTGCTTTCAATGAAAAACTCAAGACTAGATTGGCTAAGGATGATGGAGCCTGGTGAAAAGATTGTGTTTCACATCCATTTTATATTTAATTAAAAAGTATACAGAGAGGGGTTTCTATTTTTATCTTTCTAAGAATTTTGTATATATATGACAACACGTGATGGACAGTTTACTTGTGGTTTTAAGGGTCAACATCTCAGATGTTGGTTAGGATTAGGCCAGATTTTGGTAGTGCTGTTTGTAGTCATTGCCTTTGTCATTCTGTGGTTTTAAAAGTTTATCCACATGCCTATGTACATAAATTATTGAACACTGGCCAGGATCTCAAAAGCATGCCTTCTGATTTTGGCTCAACCAATAGCCTTGTGTGACATGCACTTAGGAATGATGATGTTCCCTTCCTCTTCTTGAGGGCAGTGGTGGCTCAGTGGTAGAATTCTTGTCATCCATGTGGGAGACCTGGGTTCAATTCCCAGCCAATGCACTTCATGCATACCCACCATCCATCTGTAAGAAGAGGTTTGAGTATTGTTAGGATCACAACGGTTTGATCCTGTTGTGCATAAGGATAAGTTGGGGTCATCATGAGGCAGGGGCTACCTCAATGGCAGCTAGAAACAACAGCAGTTCCATTTCTAAGTCTACCACATCTAGTGTCTCACCTGACACCCCAATCGTGCTGTAAGATTAATATATAGCACATGTTATCCTCCCCACCCTGCTTTATGAATAAGGACAAGAAGGTCACAAAGGGGTTCAGTGGCCCAGCCAAGATCCAGTGCCAGATCTCCTGATGGACTTAGTCCAGCATTTAATGCCTGCATCCCTAGTAGTATCCCAAGTTGTCTACCTCTGCAAAGGAAAATTGGGGTGGGGAGAGATGTAAAATGTAACTGTATAGTGTTTCCAAGAAGCAGCTGGTAATTTTGAACTGCCAACCTTGAGGTTCAAACTGAATTTCTGATCCAGTGTTTATTCTACAGCATCATACCAGGATTCTATTTATATATGTATTATTTGTAATATATTATTTTTTAGAGTGTGGTGGATCTGTTGGATAAGTACTGGATTGCGAACCACAAGGTCAGCGGTTCTAGCCCACCAGCTACTCCAGGGGAGAAGGACGAGGCTTTCCATTCACTCCAAGATTTACTGCCTTAGAAACCCTGTACAGGTTCACTATGAGTTGGGACTGCCTCGATGGCACTTAACAATAGCAACATATATATTTTAAACAAATAACCTTGAGCACTTTTTGTAACTAAGACGGTGTTTCCCAAGCCTCAGCTCTAAAGGGCAAAATGAACCTTGTGTCATGTCATGATTCATGCCTCAGTCCATCAATACAGCTGTTTAAAAATTATACACACCTGGGGATAAATCCTCCTTGCTTGCCAGCTGGAGAACTGAAGGGGTCTGTAAGTCTCTAGTAGTTTATACATTTCTTGGAATCTGTGTCATGTAGTATTGAATTGACAGAATATGCAACCAATTGCATGGAAATAGTCCAGAGGAGTTAATTTGGTTGGAACCTTGGAAATTCTTTAGATGACTAAATAAGTAGACTCCTTGAATCATGTGACCTTGCAGAGCTTACTGAGTAGGGCATAACAGTTGCCCAGAGAAAGGCATCCTTTACTGATAAGTTCTCCAGTCAGATGTGATTCTGAGAGTTGTTCCAGTGGAAGAGTATCATGGTGATCTTGGACTTCCAGGATGCACATGAACTTGGAACATTCTTACTAGAGGAAAGTAGGTGGTTTTACACAGGCCTGTTTGAAGCTGTTCAGGTCATTGACTGGAATAACACTGCCTGGTCCCAATGCCATCTCCACCAATTGCCAGTGATGTAAGCTTGGACAAGCTACTGTTCCTCTCTAAGCCTCAGTTTCCTCAGTGGTAAAATGGGGATAATGAGAG